ATATTAAAAACCTAAGACCCAGAGAGATACTTTAATTTTGCCAGAAAGACAGGACTCTTTGGTCATCCACAGAGGGTGACTTGATGGTCCATCCTTATAAAATGATAGGTATAATGTAATAACACTTCGGTGATAACACTTAGGTGTTAAACCGAATAAAAACAATTCAGTATGAGGTTTGCACAATGGACCAATAGGTCTGAATGCATGGGCATTATGTCCACCTCATTAATAACTCAAACTAAAACTAAAAAAAACAGATATATTCGATTCTATTATTTGCTAATCATATTTCCCATAACAATAGTAATCGTCGGTAATAGTAATGCTTAAACCTATTAAACTTCCTCATCCTACAGACCTATTAGCTTCCTCCCCTTCTTTTCTAAGATACTTGAATTATTAGTTCTTAAGAGAGTAAATTCTATAAACTGTTATGCCGTCTTTTTGGATGTTTCTCGAGCTTTGAACAAGTTTGGCATGACAGTTTTTTTAATTTAAAGTTTCTCCTACCACCCTCATACTACTTATTTTTAAATATTATCTCAAAGAACGTCAATTTTCAATACGCTACCGATTAACACTTGAAATGAAAACTGATATAAAGGCAGGAGTACTCTATGGTGCTATATATACTCCCCTATTATTTAACATATATAAAACTAATCAACTCATACTAAAATTATTTTAACAGAATATGCCGATGTAAAAGCTATCATTTCTGTTAACAAAAATGCTCAGATAGCTTCGAACAATTTGTAATCCTATCTCTATGACCTTCAATCCTGGTATCATAATAACTGGATAATTAAAATAAATGAAAATAAATCTTAATATTAATTATTAAAATTAATTAATAAATACTAATTTTACACTTAAAAAAGGCTCTATCCACAAGTTTACTTAAATAATAAACTTCAACAACTACAAAATACCTTGGCATACATTTTGATCAAAAACTTTACTGGTTACATAATATAAATTCTACTAAAATCAAACTAAACGTACACCTCTTTATAATCAAACGGTTGGGTTGCAAACACTGCAAATCAAAACTTTCACTTCTTACAAAATTAATTATATACAAAATACTACTTAAACTTCTATGGACTTCAATATGAATTAATCGGCAAAAAAAAAAAACTTAAATAAAATACAAACTATACAGAATAAGATACATCGACTAATCACAAATGAACAACCTTACATTCAGACTTATAATTAAAGACAGTATTACAAGTTGCTGAGGAGCATTTCTCTCTATACCACTATTCCATTCTTCTTTTTCTTCCTCGCCTTAATCCCAACTACTTGGGGTCAGCCACCCTTATCCTAAACTTCCACTTGACACGATCTTCCACTTCCTCTACGCTCACTTCAGCTGTCCTCATATCGCATTCAATAACATCTCTTCATCTCTTTTTTGGTCTTCCTCTACCTCTTCTTCTTTCGAAATTCATTTCTACAACTGTTCTTACGACCACTATTCCTTTCTTAACCATCTTAATTCTTTAGTATATGATCTACCTTTACCCACAATGCCTGAAAATCCTTCCAAAATACTCAAAAGAAAATGGTACACAGATCTTCTTATCCCACAAAAATTAAAAAAAAAAAAATCTAATCAATATATATTACCATTTCAAAAAGAGTGTTATCGGTGAGCAGCTTCTATTCTCAAAATAATCATGTCAAAAATTCAATATCATCTTTTATACTTATTGTACTAATATTGTATAGATTGTATAACTCAAATAAAAAAAAAAAAAAAACATTTTAAATCGAATAACAATAAACTGTTAAGACAGTCCTTAATAGTTTATCTTTATTCTTTTTGCAAAACCATAATCGAATATTTACCTAAATGCCAATAGATAAATACTTTTAACATTGTATGAATTATTGATGCGCTTCATTCCTTTTCACCTTATACTTTTTAGTGACCGAAATTTGAATAAAACAAATATTATTATTTATTGAACAAATAAAATGTATATTTACCGAATTATTATTGTCCTCTCCAATAACAGTAATGCACTTGACATATAAAAGGCCATTTTTCGTTTAGACAGTACCATTCATAGCATTTAAGTATTGACAATGAACTAATTTCATTTAAAAATAAATTATGTCTTTAAACTAAAACAAATTAAAATGATGATGGCTTTATTAACCAGGAAATCATAAAGCGATAAAATAAAAATATTTCTATTTAATTCTATGTCTTGAAAATCGAGTTTTAATTTGAACATTTCTATAAAAAGTCATTATTTAACAAAAAATGGGGGTATGATTATTAAAAAATCACACTGTACAGAAAATATTTAAAACTAATTTTTACATTACATTGAATATATCATAATAATTGTATGATTTAGGCTCCTTATTCTTTCATCTTAAAGTTACCTATTTATAGAATATTACTGAGTTGAGTTTTCATTTTAATTATATATTTTATTCATTAATAGAGACTATTTTATTATTTATATTATGTTTATTTATTGGTGAATAAAGATTATTTTAATATTATTATTGTTAAGTTTTTAGATTTTTTAAATTATTATTTTTCTTAGGCATATAGCGTACAATGCGTATCTCACAATATATTATTATTTTTGATTTATGATTTTTTAAATTATTATAGAAATTTTTATAAGATTAAAAGTAATCATAAATGCTATTTTTATCTTTAAAACTATATGTAATCAAGTTGTTGGTAATAAATTTTCTTAAGTAAAAAAAATGTTTTATACAATAATGTAATTACTGATTTTAAAAGTTTGTCTGAGGTAATGTTTTAATTATAACCAAATAACCAGAAACAAAACATTTCAGTAGTAATTAAATGTTAATGAATTCAAGTTTGTTTCCATATAAATGAAGTTGTAATTTGTATACATATTCTATATTGTAACTCAAAACTTAATAAAATAAAGAGAAAGTTAAACACTTGATTGCTTTTGCACTAAATAATATAATATTAAAATGTGATAATATTGAAAGGGTGTTTTGATAAAAGGTTAGAGTTACTTTAATTCGGGGTGGGGTGTGAGAGTCATAAAATATCATATGACTCTTATTGATTTGAAATCTTACATGATCATTTTTATTAGTTCTTAGAACACTCGAGTTAGTATTGATTAATAATCGATGAATAAAATAGCACAAATTCAATTTAGTTCACAACTTTAATACATAAAAACTTCGATAATGATAGTTACAATATTTAGGTAATGATGTCGAGTGCGCGATTAGAACAGAACGGACTGTAAGGGTTTGATCTGCCTTTTATATAATATTTTGTATCTCCGTAAAACATTATTGTGTCATCCTTATATTGTTAGTGTTTATTAATAAATAAGCATAAAATATATAAATTATTATAGATGAATAGTATACAAATCATTTTAACATTGTATACAACGTTAATATAGTTTTTTACACTACTGATTAGGGTTGACACAATGCGTTTGCGTTTCTAAAGACTGGAATAAAAAAGATGACAAATATAATTTATAGATTTCTATTTGGAAAGAGTGATTTTATTAGTTGATTTATGACTGAATTGCATGTATTATAATATAATTAAATAATATGCGTTTGTTAAATATTTCTCTAAGTTATTTATTTACATTTTTTAGAAGTATTAATTATCTTAAACGAAAAAGTTAAATAAGAGATCATTATTGTGGACACAAACAGGGTAGCCTATTGTTATCTTATGTTATGGTAGTGACAAGTATATCATAACATCCCTAATAAAGTTTTGTTTAATGTCTTATATGACACTGTAAATTGCATTCGTTAAAATTATGTTATATTTATTTCAATATTCGACGAATTAAATAATTTATCTACTGATAAATTTTGAATTATATTATTTTCCTTAGAAATTAATTTACATTTAACTTTGTTGATTATGGTTAATTAAGTTGATAATTTATGAATAATATTAAGGTTAAAGATTTTTTGCAAACGTGAATATTGTTTCTGAATTTTTTTCAAAAAATTTTTTTTATCCTATTCTTCTTTTAACTTAAAATTGGAATCATTGTTATCACTTAATAAAAACAAAATGAAAAGCTATAAAACAAACAAAACATTTATATTTATAAAATATAAGGACCACTCTACTTGTAATGTAGTGAAAGAATCGATTCTTACGTATTGCCTATATTGTATTATAGTAAAGGTACACTTCCTTTAATATAATATGTAACCGGCTTCACGACACTCAGTAGTGTTATTTACTGTTTACACTACACATAACGTTTGCGGCGTTATGCATAGGCAAAATAGCTATATGCGTGCGTATAATCGCAATTTCTCTGTTACCATTCATTATTATTATTTTTTTACGAGGTATCGTTCATATAAATGTGTGTGAAAATATTTTATTAGTCCAACTTTATGCTGCTCATAACTTCGTACAACTTGCCAATTTTCGCCTTTATTTCTATGCTTGTAAAAAAACATTAAAAACTATAGCAACAGTAGTGGTACCATGGGACCATCTTTACGATATTTCTTGTGTCATCAGTTATTTTTCATTTTTCTCCGTATCGATAACACAACATGTAGCATTGGAATGTCATAATAATATTAAAGTTATCACATAAATCTGGAATACCGTTGAGATAACAAATGTTTACAAGAATGTGATCCGTCGGAAATCTCCTCAAGTGTGAATACTTGAATATATTAAATGTTACCGATAGAAGTTTATATAGAACTTAAAACTTGAAATTCGTTGTTTTGATTTTGTAAGTTAAAGTCACACATGACAAATGAACGAATAAAAAGCAACTTTTACAGTTTTATTATTGTTTTTAAAATTTACTTAAACACAATACTTATTTGAAAGTTCTTAGTTACTTAACTTTTTATTATGCACAATGTTAAAACAGACTTCAAGAAAAAATAAAAACAACAATAATTCATGTATTTTCCAAGTTAACACAAACAATATATTATGATTATAATGTTTTTTATTTTTTCAGGTGTTATAGTGTATGGATCCGATCAGGAAGTAGTAAGTTTGATGAAAGCTGTAAGAAGAAACAACGCGACAGGAAACTTTTCATGGATAGGCTCGGATGGTTGGAGCGCTAGAGACATGGTGTCAGACACAAATGAAGCTGAAGTTGAAGGATGCGTCTCTGTTCAACCACAAGCCAACCCTGTAATTGGATTTGAGGAATATTTTTTAGGACTCACCGTAGAAAATAACAAGAGAAATCCTTGGTTCACAGGTATGGTGCAATCATTTAAAATTATCAAATGTTTATCAATCTTAAAGAGTTAACAATAAACTCATACATATAACATTGTTACAGTTAAGTATCTTAAGTTTTATACAATATTACATATTAGTAATAAACAAAGCGTATGTACTAACTAATGATTTTGTAAAAATGATAAAAACTTAAACATAGAAGTACTACTATCTACCAGTGACGTATTTTTACCGCCTTTAGTAATATCTATAATTATATTACGGATAATAATATAAGCTGTGAATATCAGTGATGGGAATTTTTGAATATTTTAAACTATTGATAGTAATCGATAATTTTTTAAAACTATTAGAATTGTTATTATACAACCGAATAGTTTTTAAAACTATTCGAATATATTGTGTGACTATCGAATATTTTTTGAATGACTATCGGATAGTTCGACAGTTACTATTCGATATTTCCCATCACTAGTGAATATTGTAAAAATTACTAGTGTTCAATCATGTAGTATATGGTTTACCGAAAATGCAACATAAGTTTTAGTTGTTTACTTTTATAAGTTTACCGATGAATTTTTTATATTTTGCGTTAAACAAATATTTGAACCTAACTGTACCGATCATATTGCCAGAAATTTCAATTATGTATCAAATAAGCGTATTCTGTTTTTTAAAGCGGATAACTAAACTATTATTGGAATAAGTAATAGTGACTGTGTGTGACCAAATCATTCCTGGATTTAAATTGAGTGTCAAATATACACTATAAAACGATACGTCATAAAATATATTGCTTTACTGCCGGCCCGTAAAACGCGTTATGTATTTGACTTTTTCGTACTAAAAGTATATCCAGCCGACCCTCCTATTGTCGAGTATGAAATCCGAGAGAGTGTTTTCAGTAATGAACGAGTGCATTCACTAGTGTTCAAATCATCCAGTAAATATTTTATTTTAGCGTAAAAATCCATTTTATGATTTTTACTCATCAAGTTTTTTCTCCTAAAACCACCACAACTTATGTGTTGTTATTGCGAGGAAAATTTTAATATTGTACTTGAAGTGATTTCTGCTATGGTATCTCTGAATAAATGAAAAAGTGTCATGCAGTGTAGTACAAAATCGTTACGACCATCTTATGGTGACATCAGGCCACATATTAATTTACAAATCGTTTACGATAGAAAACATGGTAAACATCATAAATTAATTTTGAGACGAGTAAAAGAAAAATTCGTCTCTTATTTATGCGTAACACTGAAATTTCGATCAAGGCTATATATTTCATTTCTAAAACCTTCTTTTTAGGGGTCATTTTTTCCATCGACAAATGTTTCAAACGTGTTCACAATTATTAGCTTGGCTTTTTTTTTTTTTTACTAGCCAATTGATTTTCAACAAGAACAACGTATTGGGTGTTTCTGGGCAATGGCGAAAACTGTGTGTAAATAACGAGCCGGTTTGGTGTTTAAAGCTGCGATACTAGAACGATGAACATTTTATTTATCACGAGGTGTACGATAGGGACAAAGACATATAAAATCCAGTAGTAGAGAAATGATGCTATAAATAATCGTCCACAATGGTAAGATCCGAAGTTGTTCCGATTTATTAAGAACGTTTACAACTATAGTACCGATTGAACTGTATTATCCTCAGCTAACGTCTGCCGGAAGGCATATGATTGGTCAGCGTATAATTATTGGCCACGTGCCCATAAGTCGTGTTGCTGAACAACTAATAACCTTTGTTTTTAGTGTTATCATATTCAGTCGTTACAAGCAAAAATACTATATGAGCGTTGTTACATAAAATAATAACGACGTACATAATCGAAAGTCTCATAGAAATGCTCTTCACGAAATTATTTTTTGATTTTATGCCGCTGACAAGAAAAGAGAAAGAGAAATAGATTATAAATATTTATACACACTATACATTAGATGATGGTAGTACTCGGCTGTACTTGTATAGTTTACTTAAGCGACGAAGGCAAAACGATAAGTTTAAATTTCCGCGCCTTACTTGAGTGCTTACGGTTGTTTTATAATATATCACCAAAACCTATACTTATATGCTGGTCGTGGAAATCAGCCCACTGGAGTCATTCTGCTTACTGTAACTTGACACGTCGGATTTATATACACTAGTTATGTGCATGAGTAGTTCGATTCTAGATTCTCTAATAAGATTAACAATGTCGGGGTTTGGCTTGATTTGAAAAAACTCAGCGGTCGATATCGAAAGTTGAAACTACTTTTAACATTCGAATGGCGTAAAACTTTATGTGGCGAGAAAAATTTAGATATTCACTAATTGTTGTTTGAAATAACTTCTCGAGGATTTATCGAAAACGAAATTTCCTTAATACTTAGCATACTCGTTAATGGTCAGTTTCTTAACATTATTTCGTGTTACTCAGTGTATATTCATTAACAAATAATTTTTTTTATTTATGTTTATGAAAGTAATAAATTATACGTTATTTTCTAAAACATTATTAAAGATTATGGAGGTTATCAATTAAGATATTTGATAGTAAGAAATATACTATCCGTACAATAAACAACATGATATTACTATGAGTTAATAAATTGGGTTATAAAAATAGCTAACTTTAAATTACAAAACTAATTGTCCGTTATACGTTACAAATCGTTTTCTTATTACAAATGAAATAATAGTACAACAAATTGAAAAATCAAATTATCTCAATAAATTCCGAAAAAAATTAATGACAAAGTATTTTATACACAAGAGTGATTTCACTGTGGAACCTCACAAATGTCCATGAAAATCATTAGTGTTGGATATTTTTAGAAAATATTAATAAACTTAATACTTTTTAAGGTAATTTTGTCAGCAAATTTATCAGTAATAGTCAGTAAAACTCATTCCAGAAATTTGTAGTGATATACTTTCACATGGTGTAATGTTACACTCTTGTGACTAAGCAGTCGATGAGACGTCTATGCCACCTTTAATATCGCATCCCAAGATGTCGTAAGGTACCTTCTATAGGTTATCAAATGGATGTCATATAGACGTCCTAAGATCAGCTACGTGATGTCGCAAATTTGATCAACTTATATAATATTATTAAATAAAAAAAATTAACATAAATAATAAGGGCACATATAATGAGTTCGAAACCTATACGTCAGCAATGTGCATTAAACTATATTCCTAAGACATGTCTCTACAACATCGCATTTACATCTTTCAGGATGTATTTTAATATTTATTTTTAAGTTGCAATTACACATGGACTACTTATGAGATGAAATGTTTTAAAACTTCTATGTGAAATCAATAAATATCATCGCTGAAAAATAACTACTTATAGATACTTTTTTTAAGATATCAATTTGTATTTTAAACATTCCATGAATGACTAAATAGGATGTCTCATTTTATTCACTAATCGTAATCGGATAAATATCAACTTCGACATATTGCGTCCAGGGATAGGTTAAGATATGATTAAAAAAAAAGTTCGTATGAGGTAAATTTTTACTTATGCTGAGCTGTTCTTTGTTTTTTTCTCTTTTCCATTGTTACAATAAGAATTTTAAATAACTTCAAATATGCTTATGACATTACGTGTTGACTTTTTAGGTCAATATTATTCATTTTTATAATGAAATGAAAAAGATAAATATCACAGCCAAAATGCACAAATAAATCTTGTGAACTCAGAATTTAGAGGTCAACAATAAATCAATCAACCAGTAATTAATTGATTTTAACGCATATCAAATAAATTCGATAGTTTACTAAGTTTTAGAAAATATAAGTATTATTTCAAATTATAAATTATATTATTATTATTTCTGTCTGTTCATATTTTATGCATGTATTTAAATATTGATATACATGTAGAATTTTTCACTTAAACCCTATTTGTTAATTTTTTTATTAACTATTTGAAACATTTGTCTCGTAAAATTTATAATCATATAGAAATCTTGTAAAAAATATTTTCTTACTCCAGTATTTTGCAAGTCGACAGTTTAGAATTTCGACATTGAAACTTCCAAGTGAAGGATTTACATGAACAACCGTATATTTATAGTGTCAATGTTTAAGAATTATTGGGTGCTGTACAGAAGTCTATGCCCTCAAACCGTTGTCGTTTTGGCCATTTTAGGTTTCAAGTATATATAAAAAAAATTAGTCAATATAAATTGCATTTGGGTTGCTATCCGATGCTACACGTCTTTGAAGTGGAAAACCTCGTGTCGCGTTTTTGCCACTGACAGTAAATTACAGTTTGGTTATCTGACCTTCTATACTTAAATGATACCGTACAAGACAAACAATGCACTGCATTCGACGGGTATATGAGAGCTAGTACAATAGTGTATCATATATTCAAATAATAGAAAAAATAATAACAGAAGTATAATAAATCACAGCGTGAAGCCAAAAAAAGATATGCGGAATTAAAAATGTTAGTAATTATTAATGTAACTTATAACACTATTGGATAGTTTCATTATCTTGAATATTATAGTTAAATAGTATACTCGATTCTTACACCCCTTGATGAATTATTGACCTAGTGGGTAATTTAAAATTATTCACTTTAAAAACTTTCATTTTCAAGTTAATACATAAATTTTATTGATTATAAAATAATAACAGCTCAATAACATTTGGCATACGAATTATACATAATTCATTTTTAATCTAGAGATATAGTTAAGTTTAAATTGATATAGTTTAAAACTTTAAGTAAAACTAACTTTTAGTATCTATACTTTGCATTCTGAGGAGTTCTAACATTCTTTTATCTGTAGAAAAGATAATGTCTCAAAAAAAAATAAAATCTTACAAAATTGCACTGTAAATTAAAGTAAAATATACTATTATAGTACTTTTTTATTAGTAACGACAAGGGTTATATCTAAAAAGCTATTTTATTTTTAAGGACACTACTTAAATTTTTCAATTGGTTTAATGAAGCTTCTATTATTATTACTGAATAATTTTCTATTCAATCTTTCTTTTGTTTAGACGAAAAAACATTATTTACAAAGTACAACAAAAGACGTACTGCACACTACTTATAATTAAATATTAAACAGTTAAGCCTTATTAACTGTTTGAAAAGTACGTAACTACGTAAATATTTAATGTTTGATTTATGACATTAGGGGAGAATTGTAAACCTTATAAAACTTTCAACGAATTCACTTAAATACAAAGCCTATACTATTTTATGTTTTAGTTGGACATAGGTATATTTTCTGATACTTACCAAGGTATTTCACATTGCATTTCAGAAAGAACACTATTGTTATATAATTTATCACCCAAATCTCAATTCTATTCTGCACCATGTAATGAAGTAGCCAAATTTTCCTTTATTGAATTAATATATATTTTAATATAATCATTAAAATAAATAAAAAGTTTCAAAGTTGTTGAATTTTTTTTTTTTATAGAAACTCAAAGTTTCATTTATTATGAATAGAGAATCCATAAAGCTTATTAATTTTGTATTTCAATTTTATGAAAAATATTTTTACTTAGAATAATTTATTGATCCCATAATTTATAAATTGTACAATTAGGTACGCTATTTAATGATCCTTCTGTATTTTAAATATTTACATATTTCTAGTTCTATTATACTGTATGTTTATTTTTATCTAATTAATTGAAATGGTTCTAATTTATATATAATTGACAACAAAACGCAAAAAAAACTATTTCTGTGTAGTAAAATAAGAGTCGAATTAATGTGTATGCTAGACGATACAAAATTTCTTATAAATCATATATGCATAAATTTCCATGCGGCAAAATATGAAAAAAAAATTTTTACATCAAACAATATAATGCCCAAGTGAACAAAGATAATAAAACATAATCTAGTATGAATATGCAATGTCTGAGTATAAGATGCACAACCATGTAAAAACATTATGGAAATGCCACTTTTTACCCTCACTTGAACTGCCATTGGCAATTGAACGCCGTTGGATAAGTTATAAAAACCAATAGAACGTGACGCGAGTATAATGATTAATGGATGTACTCTTGTTCTTTTTCAGGCTAACAATAAAATTCCTACAAGGCAAATAACTTTTTCTTTTTTTCGCCATATATATCTGATATCATGTTGATACTTTGTCAGTTTCATATTGACCGCGTAACCAATTTACTTCCTCTAGCTCATATCAAAATATTGATAATATTATTATCAATTACTAATTATTACAATAAATTTATTCGTACAATGGTATTTACCCGTCAGACATTTATTTATTTTGTATAATTTTTTATATATTCATACATTACGAAATAAACTATTATTAAGATAGAGTGATTGTTATTGTATAAGAAAAATTGAAAAAAAAAGAAATAATCAATAACCTAATGATTACACTTTAAAGAAAATTTACTTGCATAATATTATAATATCGTTGAAAACAATTTCTTTACTCCAATAATTCAAGAATTCTGAAACAAAAGCTTATATATAAAGAGGTCTATTGCTTGGGATAAAAAATAGTAGATCCTGGAATACAATATGAAAGACTTCCAAATATTAGAAAATATACAATTTGTCTATGAACTTCAATCAATTATGTTTTGTCAAATTGGGTTAATTGTAAATTTTTTTCGATTATAAAAAATTTAGTAATGCATATTCATTCAGTAACTATCAATGTTATGTATATTAAATGCATTTTAGAATACAAGATAATGGATGAGATATTGACATTAATTAAATTCAATTATTACAAGCCTTTATTTTTCGCAGCTAGCGTTATTTGATAATTTTGTGTAAATAAAATTCAAATGCACCCTAATTACAGAATTTTAGAAACTTTGTCAACTGATGGAACATACGACCGCAATAAAAAGTTGACATTCACACATTTACTTTAACTTCTAACTAGATTAATATGCAAAATAAACATCCTCCTTATGCTTTATTTCTTAAAATTACCGTTTTAACAAACCTGTACGGTACTTGCTCATTCAAGAAAACATAAATAACTTTTAGCCCGAAAAATTATAACTTAAATACATAATATACTTATAAAATAAAATAACTTTATGATATTTTTAGTAAAAGTAAGTCAAATTTACATGAAGGATTTAAAATATTGTGATGTTTTAAAAAAATGAAATTTTACATCATAATGCAATGAAAATATAAAAAATTTTCTTTTTCAGAATTTTGGGAAGAACATTTTCAATGCCGATACCCAGGCAGCATGAGAACACCTTACAATACTAATTATTCCACTATGTGCAATTCCAGTTTTCATCTTACCGAAAAAATTCCGAAATTTGAAAATCAGTTACAGTTTGTAAGTGACTCTGTATTAGCGTTTGCACATGCACTTTACGATATGCATTATGAATATTGTGGTCCCAATACGTTCGGTCTTTGTGATGCAATGAAACCTGTCAAAGGACCAGAGCTTCTAAAGTACCTTAGAAAAGTCCATTTTAAAGGTAAGTTATCCATTACCATAAAAATCTAGCTTTTAGGTCAATTGTCCGCAAGGTAATCAATTGCCTGTTAAATTAAGGTACATTATACCTATCGCCTGTAAATTAGAATTTTCCTTTTTTTCCCTCATTGTTCCGCAATTTGTACCCATCTGTTTTGCTATTATTAAAAGAGATGCATTATACTTAACCATACAACCGTATTTATATGGTAATAACAGTGTAACATTCACAAAACTAAATAGTAATACTCTTTCAAAAAACACATAATTTTATCATCAATATATCGAAAATAATTTTTTTTTCATACTTTTTGGAAAATTATGATTACTTAGTCGTCGTCATGATATTTTTAAATGCTTAGAAAAAATTAGATTAGGATATTTTGCGAATGGTCCAAAATTACTTGTTTTTAATTCATTAAGTGGTGTAACATGTGGTACACTTTTTTACGTTTTACGGCATTGTATTTTATTTTTTTATATCTTTTGACTCATTGGCTGCTAAATGCATCATAATTTATAAAATTTAGCGAGAAAAAAAGAAAAGTTGCTAAAAAAATCTCAATTTAATTTTGAATAAACCATGGGATATAACGACAATTGATAAACGTTATTACATAAATTAATTTAATAGAAACCAATCCACAGCTTTTGAAATATACCATTCAAAACAATGTTGATACCTTACATTACATATCTTTAAAAGAATTTTGTTTTTTGAATGTTTGTAAAATATGTTGGAGTCATGTTAAAGCTATAAAACACAAATACATTTGAAATGACGCACGTAAAAAGTGAATAACTATTAAATTGAGCCTCACTTTACAATCGTACAATAAAATTGACAATCTGAATTTTTTTGCTTCTAGTGGAGATATTATTTTACGTTTGATCAGCTATATAAGAGCAATATTGTCAGCAAATGACAACGACAGTCGTTATTTTAAATTTCTTTAACACATAGGAACTGTAATAAACAACGTACCTTTTCTCTACTGTCCTAAACTTCCTCTAAATTTCTCGTACATCTAGTTTGAACATTCTCATATTAATTTTTCATATGTAATATAAAAATTTCTGAGTTGATTTCATTGTCTGGAAAATAAAATCAGGAATATTAATTGTTATTATTGAAAATGTTCATTGAAATATTTTAAATTGCCAATGAATTATTATTTCATTTAAATTTCACCACAAGTCAAAAATTAAATTTTTTTAAATCTCACTTTTCACATTTTAACTGGAATATCAAGAGGCTTATGTTTTTAAACATAATTTTGGAGAGTTATGTGTGAATCTGCATTTTAAACATACTTGACAGATATGGATGGAGGGTTTCAACATTATATTTTTTGATGGATGTCGTGTGGGTATAAATATAAATTGCACAAAATGTAATAAGAACAAAATCTTGTGTAGCAATTTCCATAAAACTATGCTTGGCATTATGGAGTTATTTATAATAAAAATTATGTTATATGTTTCATATATATATATACTTTACTAATAAAAGAAAATTTTAATATTTTTAAAGAATAAAATTTGTATAAACACTTTTATTGATTATATTTTTCTTTTAAAATTAAAATAAGATTTTTTTAAATAAAAATCATTGTTTTATTACAATGATTTACAATACATTTATAAATGAAATGTGAAAAAAAATTACCAAATCAAAAAAATTATTCATATTTATAACAATTAATACATTAATACCCAATATTATTATTATTATATTATTATAGGTAAAGACATCATGCATCTATAAAAAAAAATTATATTGATTTGGCCATTTTTGAATAAGTTATAGCAGTTTTAAGTAAAAAAAATTGAAAAAATTCGAAACTTAGCGATTTTTATATTTGTAATTTTTTTAGAGATTTTTAGATGTTTCTCATTAAATTTAGAATTAGAAAACAAATAAATAATAATAATTAATTTTAAAAAAAGTTTAATTTATTTATATTCTAATTTATAAAAGATTACGTAAAACATCTATTAATTTTATAAAAATAAACATAAGTTTAAGCTATTATAAAGATATATAGTAAAATAACTTTAGATACATTTTTTTATCTGAATATAATAATGTTAATAATATAATTTTTTAAATATATTGTTTTTATTATTTATTTTCCAACAAGACACTTTTGTTTTATCTACACAATAATCTAGTGAATTGTAAATCATTTTTATTGGTATTATTATTATTATTAATACTACTCATTATTATAAAATATGTAAACTAGCCAAGAAGATACAGAAAACTTTATACACGAAAGACATATTTTGAATAAGTTGCTCATACTTCAATGACATTCACATAAAAAAATACCTTTAGGCTCTAGTTAATCTGTCCTTGGTGTATTATAAAAAAAAAAGCAGCGTGACAATAGAGAAAATTATGTTTTAAAGTCATGTAATCTTCTTATAATTACATTCTATTTTCTATGAAAATTTAAACAGATTTTTAATAATATTCATTAGTATGAATCTTTTATATTAGTGGTTAACACATCATAAAGATATTTATTCTGATAAACTATGAAATAATAAGGTGGATAGACACTAATTTTTCAGTCATTTAATCAACTTAAATTAATTTTAAACTGAAAAATGTAATTAATTTTCCAAAAAGGATAAATAATTGATATGAAATGACAACAGCTTTTATCTTAATTTCTACTATAACTTTACTAAAATTTTTTATAATTATTTTTTGTGATTATTTTCCTCAATATTAATATTTGTAAATTTTATTTTAAATAAACTACAGAATAGTTTTTATAATAATAAAACTAGATACTTAAACAATAATATATATAAGAGATTAAAGATAAATCTTTGATTATTATTTTAACATAATTTTTCAAAAAAGGCAAAATTTATTTCTAATTCAATGTCATTTAAACTATTATTACGATGTGACTTTTACAATTTCTGAATTAAAAAAATATAAATAAATGTACAAACTGTTTAAAGAAATTTACAATTATAAATTGATAAATATTAAATAAATAAAATTTTCACCATATGAGTGTAAATTTCTTATTGTTATTCCATCTTAACAATAAGAATCTGTTTTTGCTGAACTAGCATATTTACCTCGTACACAATTATCTGTTTACACATTACAAATACAATATAGACAAGTTTAGTCTATTATTTCCAATTGTATCATTTACCTTTCAATTACCATTTGTCTTAAGACTTAGAAACACGATTTTTTGAGATTCTCTCTTAGACATATAAGTAACAACAATATTTAATAATAAATCTATTGTATGAATCTATTATAACTAGAAAGTAACTCAGTTAAATCAGTTATTTGCACATTAATTAAAAATAAAAGATTATTTTTCAAATGAATGTCTTTAGTTTATGTCTAAAATTTAAGTTAGAACATTTTTGTAAACCAATGTGTAAAAAAATATATTGTTCAAGGAAAAAGTTATACCTACTTTCCTAGAAATGAACTCAATGGAAAACTAACTAATAATACATTTACTATATAAAAGTACAAAAGTATGTCACGTATCCTTTTTATTTTTCCCGATTGATCGAATTTAGATACATTCGTGAACTAGGTAAATACGACTGACATTAAATTTAACACTGACCGACCAAATTTAAAATTCATGATGTAAAGAGTTATGTTTTCTTAAGTTATTAATGTGTTTTTTGAAAATGAGATGATTTAAAAAACCAGTATCAATCCATGACTCCTGGGTTTGTAACCTTCTTTTCATTCTACCTATTCATTCCGACTAAATAAAAAGTAATAATTGCGATTTATTATTTTCTGACAACTCTTATCTTGATATTATTGTTATTATATTGCATCCTGTTGTCATAAAATGCCCATTATTTTTTTTATAGTAAAACTACCGTACTTCTATTAATCATGTTGCCCTCATATTACTTCTATAATATGATTTAAGTCTCTTTTTATGTTTTAATAATTTGTTTACATCGAAATGCATTTGCTGTTATAACAAATCGTAGAATAATACATTTTATTGATTTCTTATTTTTATGTTTTTTGCAAGTAATATAATTTTTTATCATAGTAAATTTTTACTATATCAAAATATTACTAAAATTTAAATTACCGAGTACGTTTCATTAAAATTTCTAATGAAAATATTTACTTCACTTAAAGTACATTTTAACTTACTATTGTATGAGGAAATGGTATTGATGTTAAAATAGGAACCTTCGGTTTACGATACAATTATTACGTTGGGGATATGTCAAGTAAGTTTTCCAAAATGATTTATGAGTTGCCTTATAACAGTGACAAATATAGTGAAATGTTTGTAATTACTCTTTAAAACTCCATACAGTTTTGAAAGTCAAATGAATTAATCTATTTTCTTAAATAATTTTCGTTATTTCCTGCCATCTCTTTAGTATATTGCAACGTATATGTTGTCTGTATTATGAAAGTTTCTATTAAATTTTGCATACTCAAATTAATTATTGAAATTATTAAAGAAATTAAAATATCGAATCAAATGTGAATTTTTTTTTAATAAAAAAAATTATTTGTATATTATGAAAAATTTAATTAATTTTATAAATTGTAATTTAATTTTTATCTTTTCAAAAAAAAGTTTCAGTTCTACATTATATTATCGAATAGATTAGAAAATACTAAAGAGTACCTTAACTAGTTTATATAATTATCATACAATTTTATTTCTCTTTTAAATAGAATTTAAGTGCTTATATTTATTACAAAATTAATTATGTAAAGTTTTAATTATGGCGACTAGTAAGGGAAGTCACTGATCCTATATACTGATCCTGATTTATAGTATAAATAAATAAATAAATAGCCCCCCTTTTTTACTTTTTTGGAAAGGTTTATTATTTAAAAATAAAAAATAAATAAGGCGTTCTTTTTTAGGTGAAGTATTAGGTCGAAAAATAATGTAGATGATCTAGTTTTAATTACAAAATGACCTACAAAACTAGTTCATGTTAACAGCTTTTAAT